TTGTTTTATTAGCTTGATGTTTTAATTACTATTTCCATCTACCTTACTAATGTTTTTGTATGTGAAGGAACATATGTTATTCAATTGTATCTATTTCAAGTAGTTAGATATGTAGTATAGGTCCTCGTGACCGAATACAAAAGTTATAATTGCGATGCGGTCTGTAAAAGGTTGGGAATCCCTGGTCTATAGTAATTATAAACAATAAACTAATTTAATTTAGTCGTAATATACCTAGAATTTCCTGGAAAGTAAGAAATTATGACACTTTAACAATTGAATATTACCTATATTACGATTTACGAGTACAATAAAAAAGATCATATGATTATATACATAAAATTTATTCAGTATATAATCTCAATTGACATTGAAATTTAAACATCGTATAATATTACAAACTTATTAATATTCATATGTAAATAAAAAGTTCAAATTATACACCAAACCTAATCTTCTAAGTACATTTAGTATTCAAATATGTCGAAACGTTACAATTTCATTTTAACATATATAAATGTAATATAATACGGTGCAGTAAGTTAGAACAGAACTAACAACTTTGCAGTTGTGTAACAGAACTAAGAATGTAAATATCTGAGTCTCAATGTTCTAGGTATTAATCTCCACGCTGACATAGGCCAGATCACGTAGCGTGCATTAGTTCTAGCTTCTGGCAACTCTCTAATGGCGTGAACGGTACGTGACTGCTTTCAATAAATTAAATTGCAGTAAGTATTTATATTCATTATTATAGAAATCAACATTACGTTTAGCTAACAAAATTTATATTTCGGCGCCTTTTAAATAAGTATGGCCAATGATATTATAAAGAAAAATTTGTAGGATTATTTCGATATTTTTTGTTTAGGTCTTTTAAAATTTCATTGTTAATACAATGTCAAATATACTTTTATTGGAATTTTAATGATAATAATATATTTCAAATACTATATAACATATATTATTAAACATTTATATACAATGGGTATATAATCTCTGTATTCTGAGTGAAGCGAATGTTGAAACTACACACACTGTGGATTATTATTAATGTACAAAGTTTCAGCTTGAGTTTCTCTACGCAACGTCAGACTATGTGTAAATGAGTATATATAGAATATCATGGGATATACTGGTCACATTTAAAATTAGGTCTTTCATAATAAAGAGATTAGGTCTTTCATAAAAAAACTCTAGTAGCATTTATAATCGTTTACGAAAAGACGAATGAATAAAATATAAAATATTGGATTTAAATAATATTTAGTAAATAATATAACGTCAGAATTTATATACATTTAAATTTACTGTAGTAACTATTACAAAAACCATGGTGCAAGTTATTTAATTATAATCTTTTTGTTTAATATCTCGTATTGTAAGGATCATATGCTTTATTAATTCCTTGGTACACTTAGGACACTCGTACCGAGCAGTCGTTATTGAGTGAATAAAAGGAGAATAAAGAAATAATTTAAGCAAGTAAAATTTATGAAAATTTATATAACACAAATTATACTGACAGTAGACCAGCAAACGAAATTGCTGAAGAGTAAAGTTTGCTACATAAATCCTTCCATGAGTTTACTTCAGTTTGCTCCATTACATGAATTTATGATGCAAACGACAAATTACTTTTATCCCACTATATACCAGAAATAACAAGTACATCCAAATAACTTTTTCACTTTAAGGTTCATTCAATACAAACATTACCAGTAAGTCTTTGTCATAACTACATATTATAATATTGTAAGGAATAATTATAGCAATAAAAAGTAAGAGATTTAATAAATACATTCTTAAAGAATATGTTGAATAATATAAGATGAGATTTATTAGATAAGGTCTGACAAGAAACGTGGTCGCGTACCACCTTTATATATTTTCATGTTACAAAGAATTTTCTCATTTTTCCCGCTTTATTGGGTATAATATATTTTACTAACATTTTATCTTATGTCAACACGAATATTGTTGGAGGAATAGAACTTTTCGTGACATATCACGATATCCAATAATTCTTAGAGGGAAAGGTGAAATACTTTCAGTAACTATGCTCGATGAAAATCATATAATAGAAGACAAGGTTCAAAGGTATAACATACATTCTTATATACCTTTGTAAGTGAGTCACTTATTCTAACTTTTATATAGACAAGTGCCATATACCCTCATTTAATTTGCCGTGCATTTGATGAAATGGAATAAATTAGTTATTTTTAATTAAATTTATTCAGCTGGAAAGTATAATTTATGGTGGAGACAAAGCGAGCAATTAGAAAGGCATTCATTCGTCTACATTGATGATTTATGAGACTGTCAGGTCTTTATACATTTTTTTGCACGATTTATTTATTTGTTTCGACTGCGATGTGCGAACATTAACTGCGAAAACTTCCCGTATATTGTGGGAGTTTAAAATTATGTTTTGTTACTGGTCACACTCTGATATATTTGGATAAAAATTTTGCTTTCAAAAATATATATTATATAATTTTATTTCTACAATAATTGTATCGTAATATTCGAATAATTAATGTTTTATATTAGTTTAATTTAATACTAAACACAGCTCTGGCATAATTGCGCCATTACCCCAAACGATGGCCAAACACGGATGAAATTTCCAGGGTGATAGTAGATTCCAAAGAGAAAAAGTATCACAAGGAACCATTATCGGCACCTGCGTACCATTCTGCTAAAACACTCATAAATTCAGGATTTCGCAACAGCACTGAGAAGTGTCAGTTGCAAGCCGGATTTTAATCTTCTGAAGATATCTTTCTACTGGGTTAAGTAAAATTAAGATAACTTTACTGCCTGAAATATTAAACATATTGTTAAGTTATTTTGGAGTTCTTAATTAGTTACATATCAATAAATATTTTTATTTCCTTAATGTTATAGTTAATAAATTAAAAATATTATCATTACAGATATGTAAATACATATAATTGTTAAATATTTTATGATTTTTCCAACTATTCATCATCAACAGCTTGAAGAAAAGATAAGTAACAAGTTTTCATGGTTAAAACTGTAGTTGAACTTTATAAAGTTTCTAACCAAGTTGACCCGTTCATTATATTTATTTAAAAATCTTCTTCAACTATGAAAATCTTTTTCATCTTTTTGAAGCTATCCCCTGTTTAAAAATTGAATTAAAACTTACCTTAAGAGCGTTATGTTAGCGACTGATAAAAGTATATTTTCTTACAGGATATTTGCCGCATAAAATAAACGAGAAAAGTTTTCAAATTTAAAAATGGTGTATAATGAATAAAAACAGCAACGCTAAAATGTTAGAATTAAAGCCCTTTTATAGCATGAAATATGTATAGAAATTAAAATTTGAATGGTACACAAGCCTACTCGTTTACATTTATGTCTTCTTGGGACTTATTTAAGCTGATGAGAATGTGTAATAATTTGTGAGTATATGAAAGTTCAAACCATGTAATAAACACGAGAATTATAATATATTACCTTTCTCGAATGTGATCATACATATGTCACCTTTATTGATGTAAGCCATTTCTCAATTTTATAGCGTATTTTATATGATGTGTCCACATTTTATACCTCTAGAACTACTATTATTTAACTAAGTATACTTAATCTACTAAAACTCTGGTCAATTTTGTAATGAATAAAAGTTTAAGGTTTATAATTGTGAAAATACGTGTGAAATCGTATCAATAGTAACAATAATGATTCCACGTAAAAGTAATGAAGGTATGAATAATAAAATAAAAGTTTTTAAATCACTGTGGATGTCAATAATTCCTCTTTGTCAATAATATTGTTCGTCAGATTTTTTGTGAGAACTTTGAGTATACATATATTAATCAAATTATGAATCAAATATGTTCTTAAATGGACTAAGACCTAAGAACAATGTGAAGTAAAAAAAAAGTACTTACATTTCTTATAACTTTTTATTTTTATAATCTTTGGCATATAAACAATATAAAAATGAACAAATTCATAATAGAAACATAAACAAATTAATAATAAAAAATATGTAATTTAATAAATATTAATTGAAGGTACGTTTTCTACGTAATTTTAAGCTAAAATAAACATGTTGAAAGAAGAGTATACAACAAATTCAGCATATTAAAATATCGGTAACAAATTAATACTGCTTTTTTATAAACAAAAAAATTGTATCCAATAAAATTGAAGTACTTTATAACTACGTTTATTTATATGTATAACTATCAATCTCTTAAATATAATATTATTTATACTTTACTTATATTTATTTATACAAACTATTTAAAATAATACGTATAAAAGAAAATGTGCAGGAAGTATTCAAAGCAAAAGGAAATCTAGAATAACTTCTGTCAAGCGACAGTTTTTTTTTTGTACAATATCCCCGACACAATTTCTTTGTTCTACATTATACGAGCGGCTTCTTCTGGAGTATTCTAAATATATAATGGAAATCGTTGAAAAGCAAACACTTTATTTTCATTACGCCGAATTTCAATTTGGACTGCCTTCGATAGAAAATGTAAATAGATCAATGAAAATGATACTTTAACATAGATATAATGAAATATTGGAAAATAATATATTTTCCTTTTTTTATAATTTTGAGGATTACCAAAGTTTTAGATATTTTAGTTTACCAAAACAATTACCATGCAATCAAGCAGCTCAATTCAGTTACATACTTTAAAACACGATACTTTCTTGATATTTCGTTTTAATATGTTTAAACACTTTCCTTACATTTAATACGCAATAATAATACTTTGAACCACATTCAAACGACCAATTTCATTTAACGACATCTACATTAAATATTACTTTACTCTAGCCGATACATTCAAGCAAAATATATATTCTTTTTAATTTAGAAACTTATACAATATGTATATTATGTAATCTTATTCAATAATACTAGCAGTTATAAAAATACCAACCCCTACTTTAAAGTAACAAACACGTCAATATAAATTAGATATAATTATATATATTATTTATACAGAGGAATGCTTCCCAGTAATAGCTCCGGTGGTTTTGTTGTATTCGTATTCTTTGTGCCCATTGCCTTTAGATTCTTTGTCTTTAAGGAGACCTTTTTTATCTCTAAAATTATATAAAACTTGATATTAAAACATAATAATATATTTCTTTATTTATATATGAGATTAAGATGATAAATTAATCATAGTTTTATAAGTTGATGTCATTATAAGAAAAACTAACCTCGAGTTCAAACTTTCCTCTCGATTGTTCTTCTTTTTCTTGACACAGCAATTAGCGATGACGCCCTGTCTCCTCCATAATAATAGTAAAAGATCCAGCATTACAAGGCAAATGAAAACCGCTAAGATTGATAAACCAATAAGCGCAGCGGCTGACAGATATGGAGTTTCTTCACCTGAAAGAAATAGTAATAAAATAAAGAAGTATTTTGTTATTAAATCAATGATTAAGTCTCGTCTTCTACATAGTTGCTAAGTATATCAATGAATGAACAAAAGCTAAAACTAATTTACCAGGTATGGTGACGGTGATACGAGCTGTAGTTGAGTTACCAACTGTATTTTGAGCAATGAGTTCTATGTAATAAGTTGTGTTAGCGTTCATATCGTTCAAATGGAACTCATTTGTTTGATCTAATTGTATTGTTTCACACAATTCCTCTTCTATAAAACCATTTGTTATCTGAAATATTTTATACACAATATGATATTTTTCATGTTAATTGAATTGTCACATTATATGCACACGATTTTAATCTACTTATATTGAAATCAGAGAAAATTTTATGTAAGGTAAGTCACTATCCGAATATCAATTGTTTTTGAGAATATATGCCATTGATTTAATTAAAAGCTAAGTGACTGTACTTTTAAAGGTAATAATCATATGTAGTATGTATTACTATAGAATACTTTATAATTAATAAAACTTAAAATGATTTAAATATAAACATACCGGACATTGTCGAATTAAATAAAAATCAACAAGATCACTGTTCTTCCATTTTAAAACTTTCTCTTTAACAGCTATTTCTTCCACGTTCATCTCCCATTCGGGTTCATCTGGGGTTGATCTGAAATAAATTCTATGAAATGGTTATGTTATACTTAAAAACTAAAGTATTTAAATATTCAGTATCAATAATCACAATATTAATATTTTCAGTGGTGGCCTAGTGGTTTAAAGGCCCGCCTCTCATGCATGAGGGCGCGGGTTCGATCCTAGCAAGTACCAATGTGATTTTTCCGAGGCATATCTACTTTCTAAGAGTATTTAGACATTACTGATTAATGCATTCCCAAAGAGGGTTGATGTCAGGCAGGCGTCGGTCGTAAAAACAATTAGCCAAAAATATTCACAACATGTAAGGCAGACCCTGGCTAAAGTTGGGAAATTGCCAGGTAGAAGAAGATTCACAATATTAATATTATAGTAAATACAATATTACGTTTCCATTATTGTTTATTGATTCCTTATATGTTAAAATAAATCAGTACAGTACTTGACTGTTTCTCATAATATGTAATATGTATATATATAATGATAGCGTTTCTGCACTAATTAATATTAATATTAAATATACATATGTATATTACGGATGCTGTTTCATCGTAACGTTGTTTCAATTAGTTTAACATAACGTAGGCATGAAGCGTAGTCAATTTCAACAATTATTACAAATAGATTAATTACAACTGAAAATTATAATTAGTAAATCAATGCTATATATTTTTTATGTATTTCGTCAAGCATTTAGGATTTTTTATGGTATTAAAATTTATAGCAAAGCATATAAACAGTGAATATAAAAGAATCAAAACAAAAAAATGCGGTAGCAGAGATTAATTTCCTGAAACTTTATCACGAAATAAAGTTACGCAGTTAAGAATCTATATATATTTTGATAAAGCTTAGACAGAGTATTTGTAGTTACTTTAGAAAACAAAAGAAGGTGATTTTTACATTAAGGCGAAAAGTTCCATTAAAACTGAACAAAAATGCACACACATATAAAGATATAAGTAAATGTACATTTTCAGCCTAACAAAACTTAAGCGGCGTCTATTGCCCAATGTTATTTCACGAAATACTAATCGAATTAATTAGGTTTTATTTCTTTATGGGCTATTAACATTAATAACTTTTTACATATTATCATCATATTAATCTACAACATATGTATAATATAGTTAATATACATACTGTTCAAGTGTCGCGAATTCTAGTACATCACTCCAGGGTCCGGTTCCGACTTCATTGATGGCAGCAAATTTCACATAATAACTAGTGTTCGGTTTCAGCTTGTCTATCTTCAGTGGTCTGTGTATCGACCAGGTCCTGTTAGTGTGTATGTCTGTTACATTATAGTTGTCTACTTCGTCGTATTCAGCTGTAAATCCTATGACATCTGGACCTTCTATGGGCGGCGGCTCGATTGTGAATGTAACTGAGTGTGACGTAAGATTTGCGAGTGACACCTGGAAATATTTGATTAATTTAAAACTATGTTAATCAAAGAATTGTTTATTTTGGAAGAATTCATTAATCCTAATAACATTAATAAATTCTGTGTGTAATTACAAATCAAAAGCTTTAAATGAGAACATTTACAGTATAGTTTGTCATTTTTTTCAGGACAAATTATCCTGAGTTATTTCTATAGTCTAAGTCTAAATAAGAATCTAGTAAAGTGGTCCTTGAGAAATCGAATAAACCTTGAAGTATAAGTACCTGTGTTCATATTCTCAATAGATTTAATATACAGTGAAAGTCACATGCAACAGTTAATACTGACACAAGGATATACTATAAACCGTACATTAACATTGAAATTACAAAATATGTTCTATATATGTAAGAAAATATTATTTTGCGGATTATACCTACTACGCATATTTTATTTTTGTAAAGACTACATACTCCCGAAGTTTCGGTTACTTTTCAGCCTTGTTATTTATCATCTGATAATAAAACACAAGACCAACTGACAGACACCCGCATCTCGTTTGACCGTGATCACGGTTGCTTACAATAATAAAATACGCGTAGTATATTCAGAAAAATATTAGTTTCATTTAAATGAATACTTGTGAAAGCCTTGCATCATTATATTGTCTATAATAATATAATGAAAATAAAAAAAAATAAGATTCTTATAACAATTAGTTTCGCATTATCATAATAATGTTTATTTCCAATAACGATAAGTAAATACCAACATTATTAATAGCTGCTGGAACAAATCCCTCTCTTAAAGTTATCATTTTCTTCGCTTCTCCGAACTCATTTTTAGCAGTGCACTCGTAAATGCCGTACAAAGTTTTATTTTCTATTATAAGAGGACTCTTATGCAACTTGTCGGCTATAATTTTATTAATTTCCATTTGATTCTCCGCTGATATTTCATTGCCTTGATATCTAAAATGTATTGGAATTTTATAATTTTGCTGGTTAATCAAGTCAACCTAGTAAAAGATTAAAATATAATTTTAAAGTCTTCTCGTATAATTATGGTTTTTCTATAATTTTTCAAACAAGTATTTGTATCAACATGCCCATACTTTTGTTATTATTTATTAATTTTAATCCTTCATCCTGACGTACAACACAGGAGACATATTTAGAAAAATATTGTTAATTTGCAAACATAATAAGAATGAAATTCAAAGTGTATTAGAATTTCATAAAATCATTTTATAATAGAATTTTAAGAACTTAAGAAATAAGATGCATTTGTTCATTAGATCTAACTATACATTATAATAAAATAATCTGAAACAGTAACATAATGACAATAATAATAACGATTTTCATTATAAGTGTTTATATTATACATCAACATATACAACCTCCAAGTAATAACGCCGGGTGGATTGCTGGAGTGTTCACAACTTAAATTAATACTTTTCCCATTCCACGACCAGACGTCCTCGACTGGAGTTGTGAAGTACGGCGGATATAATACTCGGAATTCCATTTCTTTTATATCAAAATCCACTGAAAGAGAGGGTTATTAAATATATTGCACTATAACACTACTGAATACCACATCTTGTGAAGAATCTTAAAGAATTTTTCTATCTATTTACATTTTCGTATAACATGTACAGATAAACTTAGATAAAAAAAGAGAATTTTTGTAATTAAGTGGATGTTTCTTACTCGAATTTTGATAAGACTTTCCGATATTGGATATTCCGAATTTTGATAAGACTTTCCGATTTTATAGTTGAGAATGAGAATAAATTTAGACTTTAGTTTATTTCATCAGTCCCCATAGTATCCAACAAAAACACGTCATATCACTTGTAAGTAGAATAAAGTCACATGACAAAGATAGTAGATGTCATTGAAGGTAGGTTAACATTTTCAGGTGAAAAAATGACTAAATCATATATTGTGATGTCAAAAAAATATAAGCAAAACGAAACACTACCGTAGATAACTACAAACTAAATTTTAGTTGCTCCTAAATTATTGCAAATAACAGCTATGCCCATATACATACAATAATTTATCCAATTGTTAGAAGAATAATGTTAGAAGTTTAGTCAAATTGGGAAAAATTGACGAATTGCAATGCATCATTAAAAGTTTTAAATATACTGTACATTTAATATTACTAACGGAGACCTGGATAAAATCGGATTCTGAAGCAAATATCTTAAAAATTCCAAACTATAAGCATATTTACAATTATAGAACTGACTCTCTCGGCGGAGGAGTGTCTATGTATGTCCACAATGATTTATCCTACACGCTTACAGAAGAAAAGTATACTGATGGTAATAACTTCCTATGGATTTATTTAGAAAAATGTAGCTTACATATTGGACTTGTTTATAGACCCCCGACAACTAATATTGAAAACTTTTTTGAAATATATTCAACTCAGTTGGAAAAAAGGAAAAGATCAATAGTATTTGGAGACTTTAATATAAATATTTTAAATAAAGATCGTTGCACTAAGAAATATAAATATATACTACAAGAGTCCGGTTACATAATACTCAATAAAGTCAACAGTCAATTTTGTACAAGGGAAACAGAAACATCTAAATCGATCCTTGACCACGTTTGTACAAATACTAATAATGATTTTCATATTGCTCTGATAGACTCACCGCTATCAGACCATAAACAAATTTATTGTGAATTTAAAAATTATAAAAAAGAACCCAAAAAGAAAATAAAGTATGAAGCAATAAATTATGACAATTTATACAAGGATATGGCGGAAATAAATCTTCAGATTATAGACGACTATGAGGAACTGAGCGAGTACATAAAAAGGGCTAAAGAGAATAATAAAGTAATTAAATACAAAATACAAAATCGACCGAAAGACGACTGGATAAACAAACATATACTGGATGAAATTAAAAACCGTAATAACGTGTGGAAAAATGTGAAACAAGATACAGATAATAAGGAACTACGAAAGGAATTTAATAACTTACGAAACAAAGTTGGAAGTGCCATTAGAGACATTAAGGATAAATTTTATTTTAACTCATTTATTAAATGTTATAACAAGCCTAAAAGAATGTGGGACCTTATCTATACTTTTGCCAATTATAAAACCGTAAATCATAATACTCTCCCTAAGCTTATAGTAAACGATAACATTATTAGTGATGGTACGGAAATATTTGAAACATTTAATTCTTACTTCTCGTCAATAGGCTCCATTTTGGCTAACTCTATACCATCCAAATACCATAAAACAAGTACTTCATACATGTCACCCTCATACAAAAACACGAAAACACTCACAAATTTTAAAATATGTACAAAAGATGAAATAAAAATAATCATTAAAAACCTAAACACTAATGCAAGCACAGGTCTCGATGGTATAACACCTAAAATAATTAAATGTGTTAATGATGTAATAAGTGAAAACTTAACGCTTTGCATTAATAAATGTTTCAGGGACGGTGTATTCCCAGATAGCTTAAAGGTGGCTAAAGTTATCCCTATTTATAAAGCAGGCTCGAGGACTGACCCTGGGAACTATCGTCCTATATCGGTTTTGCCCGTTCTATCAAAAGTATTTGAGCAGGTTTTGTACAAGCGCATATATAATTATCTCACTGAAATAAATTTCCTTTATAAAGGTCAGTATGGGTTTCGTGTTAAATCAAATACTCTTGCAGCTACAATTGATCTAATTACTAAAATAAAATTTAATATAGACCAGAAAAGGATAGCTTTAGGTATATTTATTGACTTGAAAAAGGCGTTTGATACCGTCTCACATAATATCTTGCTTCATAAATTGCAAAAAATAGGTGTATCTGGATCAGCTTTTAGCGTTCTTAAGTCATACTTAATGAATAGACAACAAATAGTAAAAATCGAAAATTTAAAAAGTAGTTCATGTAATATCAATTGCGGCATTCCTCAGGGATCAGTCCTAGGCAGTCTATTATTCTTAATTTACATTAACGATATTGGTATTCTGGGATTGCACGGAGAAGTGTCATTATACGCAGATGACACATGTCTATTCTTTTTTGGAGACTCAATACATGAGATAATATCGAACGCACAAGCAGATTTAAATATACTAAATGAATGGTTCCAATGTAATTTGCTTCGTATTAATGTTACAAAAACCTCCTATATGCTTTTTACTGCTAAAAATAAAAAAATCCCTAATTACGAACCCCTAACCTTAAATGATATTAAACTCAAAAAATCAGAAATAGAAAAGTATCTTGGTTTACTATTAGATTCCAAATTAACATGGCAACCACATTTAGATTATTTGCAAACTAAAATAACATCACTGACTGGAGCTTTACGCAGGTGTGTTCGATGTATTCCATATAAAGTTCGAACTATTATTTATAACTCATTAGCTAAACCCTTACTTGAATATTTAATAGAAGTATGGGGATCTGCACACAAAACTAATTTAAAAGATTTACAAATATCACAAAACAAACTATTAAAAACACTACACCAACTGGACTACCGCTTTCCAACCAAAGAACTTTACAAGAAAACTGATACACTATCTATTGGACAATTATACAAATACAAAACATGCATACTTATAAGAAAAATTATCTCAGAATCTATACATACACAAACTACTTTTAAGACTAAATCACATAAATACTATACACGAAATATACATAAATTACAAATACCTAAGTCTAGAACTAAACAATATGGTAACAAAACTATACAATTTGAGGGAGCGCTAATGTACAATAATCTACCGAAAGAAATATTAAACGAAAAATCCTTTTTGAAATTTAGAGCTAAATTAAAAACATACTGTCAAACTTTATAATATTTGAATGTCTGTATAAATAAGGTCACCATTAACTTTATAAATGTTTATTTTTATGTTATTAGTTTAAGTTTCCTATGTAAGTGAACTTTGTTCTTAATGGGAAATAAATCATCTCTAAAAAAAAAAAAAAAAAATTGAACAAAAATTTATACATAGAACAAAATTCATAAAAAACAAGTAAAAATTTTCGTTTATATCATCCCTATTAATTAAAATTATATTGTAACCAATTTTGTATGTAGGCTTTATTAAAAACAACGTTGTGGAAATCTGATAAGGGTTCCGATACATAATTAAATGTTGTGTTCCATTAATTGTCAAATTAATTGACGTTTAAAATGTTATTTATGAAAAAGTTACGGCAAGGAGTAATGAAGGTATCAACGGCTTCATGTCGCTTCGATTATTATTTTAATTTGAGTTAAAGATATTAATTAATCTGAAATAATGTAAATTTTTTTTTTAATTCTTACTAGAAGTGGATTTATACCAAGAACACAATATTTGTCATTAAATTATTTCTCGTCTCAAGTAATATATCATCATTATGATGTTTAATCTAAAATAACCTTTTGCCTCTCATAAAAAGTAAAGATTCTAAAACTTTGCAAAAGAATAACTACAATATATTGTAAATTGGGCCATGATTATATTATAAACTAGTTTTTGCCCGCGACTTCGTCCGCGTTAGTTTCGTCATTAGTAATATATGTATAGCTGACCGGGCGAACTCTATTCCGTTTTAGAGGCCATTAATAATCAGGTTTCTCCTGTTTCAATCGAAAAGAATGATTGACATATCTAATGTCAAAGAAAACGTTTGTATGGGAAATAGAAAAGGGCTGTTTTTATGGTTTTCCCAGTAATGAATCAATTTTTTTCAGCTTTTATACCTTCCCTGAACCTTCACGAACAGTTCAAGACTAAGATAAGATAAATCCGTTCAGCTATTCTCGAGTTTTAGGGAGACTAAGGAACAGCAATCCATTTTTATATATATAGAAGATATATGTATGTGTATATATAGATTTACCATCGTTAGTTGCATTGCATTCATAAACACCAGCGTGAGATCTGTTCACTCTGAGAAAAGATAAGTAGAATTCCACTTCAGTGTCACTCGTGTTCTTGATGTCCCAGACTATGCTAAAAATAAAACGCTCACTATTAAAATTCTGAATCGATTAATCTTTGAACATGTTAAAGAGCATTGTTGAATGTTTAACGTCAATAAATATTGTTTTCAAATTTAAAGTTGAATTCACTGAAATACATTCAACTATTCCGAACTAAACTTCCATTTGACCAGACCGATGAGTGTTTAGTTTACGTAAATTTCGGTCAAACGGATGTTTAAAATTAAACGGTTGATTTATATATGAGTTTTTATATAAATATGGATATAAATATAAATGTTTTTAATATATTAAGACCTTACCTTTGTTCGTCGGATTCATCTCCAAGGAACATCATATTAATCTTGGGTATCGGCCTACCAGACGTTTTGCAAGTTATTTGTGCGGTCGATCCTTCAACCGCTGTTACATTGTTTAATTCTGTTATATTCGGTGCTACCAATACCTGCGGCATACGGTACTGTATTTAAATAATTGTGTATAATTTGGAAGGTTTATTACATAGCCCGCAATATATTCCCATCTATTGAAATTTCCTTTCTAAATACTACACTCGTAAGCTCCTGATTTAAGCAACATTTTTATATCAATCCAAAAAGACTCAAATCTTTTTAGGAAAAGGGTTTCCTTTTATTTTAATACACTTACGCAACCCGTCAAAATAGTATTATCCATCCTTGAGATTAAGGAAAGGCTCCGGGAATGGAAAATAAATGGAAAAATAAAATAGTAATGACATCAAAGATGCGAAATTTGTTAAGAATATAATTAAATGCATATTTGTAATTCTTCTAGACTAAAAATATAAAATAATTTGGCAGGAAATTTAAGTGAATAAAGTTTATGTATCAGAATAATATAAAGATTACATCTACATAGTCTGTTTTGAAAGAAACTGAGTTTCCGGGAGTATAAATAGTATTCAATGTAATTGTATAATACAATAAACAGAAATAAAAACTATACATGTTGATTATATGGTGGTTTTAATTAATAATATCTCATTATATACCTCAATATTAATTATCTTTGTGAAGTTTCCAGCGTTGTTGACCGCAGTACACTCGTAAGCACCGCGATCCGATTCTTGAACTTCATCGAAGACAATCGTATTGGCTATTTCATGCCAACTTACATTTTCTCCCTTGTTAAATGATTAACAGAATATTTTATAATGTTTTACAAACATTAAAACATGTTACCGTATTTTTTTATAAGAAAATCAAATAAAAAATAGGAAAGACAAATTTTGGCTATGATCATTTATTTGAATATGTGACGATAAAAAAGTATTATACATTCACTAACTCAATAACACTAGTGACAATAAAACTATTAAAAAAACTCGAAGTCAATTATATGACATTGATTAATAGGTAACAAAAAATACATTGGCCTATTCAAAAATGAAGGTCACATTTTATTGTTAACTAGAAGACCTGGCGAACTTCGTATCGCCCTATAATCAAGAAATATCTGTTACGTTATTTTATTTATATTTTTGGAGTTTACCTGTAAGCCATAAATCTCCATGTTTTGAAGTGCGACAGAATGATTGACATATTAGTTAGTTGTCAAATCTAATGTCAAAAAAAACGTTTGTATGGGAAATAGAGAAGGGCTGTTTTATGGTTTTCCCAGTAATGAATCAATTTTTTTTAGCTTTTATACCTTCCCTGAACCTCGACGAACATTTCAAGACTAAGATAAGATAAATCCGTTCAGCTGTTCTCGAGTTTTAGCGAGACTAAGGAACAGCAATCCATTTTTATATATATAGAAGAAGAAGATAAAAACTGTTGCTAATTTCGGGTATATTAAAATATATAAGTAATTTCCTTGAATACGTACCGTATAACCAATCTTTTTCCACGAATACTCTGGATGTGGAACGCCATCTGCCACACACTCTATGGTCAAACTCTCGCCCTTTATGACTGTGTTATTTGTACTAGCCGTCAAATCTATTATTGTTGGCATCGATATTACCTACAATATTATCAGAAACTCCACAATTAATTTTGAAATCCAATACACTTTCAAACAAAAGCGATGAGATTATGCATACAAGAATATCAAGCGATATTTTGGATAAAGGACATTCTGTGGAATAGTCATCTATGTATTAATATTTGAATGTTGAATTAAATTAACAAAAATATTGAATCCTAATTTAGTTTATATGATTATTTAATGTAATCTCACGGTATGTACGATGTTTTATTATATATATTTTATAATAATTCATGTGAACTTGTATTAAGTGAAACATGATTAAAATGTTAAAACATAATTATGGAAAATACATTGATTTTACTAGACCAGCAAATAAATTTGCTGAAACTGGGTCGAATGCTGATTGAGACTAAAAGGGCTATTAATATTCATATTTTAGATAAAATGAGGGGCTACTTTTATATTAAAATAAGGTGATATAAAATATTATATTAATGAATCTCGCGATGTGCATAATTAATAATAGTCTTGACATTATTACGACAAGAATTATTTAATGTTTAACTTCGACTGAGAAAACGCGGGCAGGCAGACAATTCGATCGCTTCATACTCGTATATATATAATTCAATCACCTCTACGTGTATGTCCTGATCTATCCCTTCTCCAGTCTCCAAATCAGATGCTGCACATTTATAGAGTCCATTATCATCCTTTGTTATATCTTTTATTTTAAGACCTTCTGAGGTTACTTCGTATTTATCATCATTCGTGATCTGTAAAAAAAATATTTATTTTATATACATATTTTTTTATATCAACCAAATTTTGTAGATCGTACTTTTGCAAATTACGTATGCAATATATAATAAAAAACCATACAGTAATTAAAAAGAGCGCATATTAAATTACTTTATATTTTATGTACAAATACATCAGCAACAGATATTTTATCAGCGAATGTTTATTAAACCCAACTAATTGTGTTGTAAATTTTTATCTGATAATTTTATTTATATATTATAATAGCGTATTATCAGTCAATATTACCTCAACAAAACCATCCTGCTCTTTGTACCAACTTATCAAAGGCTCTGTATCGCCTCGAGCCTCGCAAGTAATCACAGCATCTTTACCACTCACCACATATTGATCAGGCTTTGTGTTCACGAAGTAAGGTGGATCTGAGTCATAAGAATTATAATTATCAATATTATATACACTAGTAATAACTTTACTAATTACGTATTCATTAATTTTATTTCCCGAAACGCTTTAAATGCCGTGGGATTCTTGTGACATGAAAATGCATACAAATCAATTGGTTGTTCTTCTATGATTAAAAACTGACAAACCCATACGTTACTACTAGCATTTAAGAATATAAATACAATCTTTATAATGTTATGATTGGAAGAAAAATGTCACTTATTCTTTAAATGTAACTTAGTCACAACGTTGTCGAATTTTTTTCTTATCTGATCTTTAGATATAGATCGACATACACTAAATTATACTCACCATATGCTTCTACGTGATATATCATTGAGTATTCTCTTCCATTGTGGATAGTCACGCATTTGTAGGCACCTGATATTGATTTGCTTAAACTTGAAATGTATACGCTATACGTATCCCTGTCGAGCCACTCGGTATACACGTTTGATTTTGTACCTGGTCTTGTGAAAATAATTATTACTTTACTAATAATAATACATCAAGTCGTTGTTCGTACATGATTAAGTGAAGAACTCGGCTAATTATAAGAACGGTACACGTAATTATGATCTTATGTTATAGAATAGCTATTTAAAACTTTAGCGTTTTATTGAATGAAGCTAAACTAAAAGCAAAAAATAGGGTTTTATTTTATCATTTGGTTTTTTCAAATATTTGTGATAAATATAAATAATGTTTTTTTCGTACAATGTTTTTAGATTATTCTTTAAAAATGTATAAATGACACAAAAAGTCGGTTAAATGTATATAAATTTATCAATAAAAAGACATTATTATTTCAATAGTTATCGTAGTGTTACCTTAAGATTGGTATTTCTTGATCGTTTGTATCCAACCATTTGAGTGTTTCCCCTGTACCAAGCTCACATTTACACTCCTGATAGAATGAACTTCCTGATTTAATTTTGGTAAATTCGACTTGATTGTTCGTAAAGCATGTCTGGCTCCCTTTAAGAAAAAATACCATTGTCACCCACGCTTGGTAATCCATCAATTAAGTTTGGGCATCTACAATGCTTGAATACGTGGGATATATATTGTTTGAGAGTGTGTACTGTAAAGACGTCTCATTTCTTATTTATAACTATTGTAGCACATAATACGAAGATAAATTTATATCTGGGAGTACTTACAAATTCAGTATATATTTACATATATCGTTCCCTAATATTATTATATTATTTGATTAAAAGCCCAATAGTATATACAATAGTATCTTATTTATTATAACATTGCTACATTAAAAGAACTATTTTTAACAGTATTTTCTTTATAAACTTAGAGTACCTAAAAAAGATCACAAATTATCTTCTTCACGGGAATCATCTGGAATTTCCGCATTTCACGTATAATTTTATCGAAATCTTTTCTAAAAATATTCAAACTTTTTAAAAAGATTCAAGAAAAGTTTCCAAGGAAATCTTATTTAAGTTTTGGTAAAAGTTAGACAGATCGAAAAGTAATTTCACACGCCTAGTATTCGAGTTTGTGTCAGTTAATTTTTGATGGATGGAGTAAGAGAAATAAAATTGACGTCCTAATAGTAAAATATTATATCATTAGCTACCCTGAAATTTGGAGCCCAAAATTAGATCTTAGTCTTGGCAAGCAGTATATAATATTACAATAAAGTCTTTAAGTATCACTCTTTGGAACAATACAACCAACATTATTATAATATAAAAATATCATAACGTGAGTCCAATTTAAAACAATTGTATTTAATAGCTGAGATGTAGGAATAACAATAAAAATGTCCTTACGATCTCATATTAACTTCCAGTAATTGAAACTTCATTCAATCCGAAATATTTTATACATTACATCAAAATTAGTAAAATAAAATACTTTGTGGTACATATATTTGAGTTCTAATTGCTCATTAGAAAACATACGCCTCAATTCCAAAGAGATCTCAGCCTCGAAAATGTTTATGAACATTTAATGTTATATTGCACACTTTGATCTTTATAAACAAACATTTGATGGTAACTCTCTTAAACACACATTCATATGTATTCATATACATAACAATTATAATTCATTATTATATTTTAATAAGACTTTACTTGATTAAAATATATTGTTTTAAATTTATAGGCCAATCTCTTTGTTATAGAAACAGTTCATACTTTAAAAACGTCATAAATTTATTAACTTTACTATCTCAATATTATTGATATTATCTAGAGGTTGGTTACAGTGTCTATGTTTTTGTTATTTAACGCTTGTTTGAAAGGTGTAAAAATTTCAACTTAATTCATGTCTTTTGAAATGATTAAATTGGTCTATATTAATTTTCTGTCAATGATAAAGACTTTTTAATTGTTTTAAATTATAAAGCTGTATACTTATTAACGTAACACGTAAATAAATTTTCCATAAGAAATATTGCGAGTCATGATGAGGTTATATAATTGGAGAGTTTTATTCTCCTGAGACACCATAGTTAAGATTTAAACAGGAAGTTTAGTAAGGATTGGTCCGGAAGGGCCGTCCATAATTTGCCATTAAACCTGACTCACATCTGTAAAATACTCACTGCCTTAATAGTCTGTAATATTATCCGAATGCAAGAAAATAAAAGAAGATTTTAAATGAGATCATGCCTATTATAAACTTGATTTTTCAGTACAATATTTTTACGACGTCTACAATGATCTAATGTGGCCAGTTAAATAACATAACTGACTAACTTGGTTCTACCACTTAAGATAATCAAGGCCGTATTAATTTAATGTCTAAATATAAAGTTAAATATCACATACATTTCATTAAATTTTTTAAATCTATCAACTATGTAGGCGGCTAGAGGCTTTTTCCCCGATTAGATTTGTCAAAAAAAAAGAGCATCAGAATAGTGGGTTCACAATTTATTGTTATTTCTCCCATGTGGAGGAATTAACACACGTTTGGGGTGGTTCCCTAACCAATATCTTTTTATGAAGAAAACTGCCGTATATTTCGGTTAAACCGGAATTTAAGACATCATCTAACAATAGACTGTGCTCTATAAAAATAAATTAAGATGCTTCGGATGCTCAAATACATCGCATAAAACTATATGTGTGTTAATATTAAATATAGGCCTAGATCCGGGTTAAATTGCATACGCCGTGGCAGGTCGCCAGATGAAGATAGTGACACTGGTGACACCAATTATATACAAACAAAAAAGCAAACAAAACATGAACGAACGTCCTTCGTCAATATAACAAATGAATTCACTCTTCACATATGACATTGTACAACCGCTAATCGCCGTCCATCTAAATAAAACAGGAACAGCTTACGTCATTATATCATACTCCCATTTAATTGTAACAATCCGCAATACTGCATAATCACTGGGCCATACAGCCACAAATTCGGAGTTTGGCAATAATGTTAATCATAGTATGCTTAATTAAATATGGTCTAGTAACGAGCTACATTGTTTACTGTTAAATATAAAGTCCGCATTAAATCAACTACAGTGATAGCTTTAAACTATTGTGTTATTTTTTTTTAAATAAAGTTTTTTCTGTCAGCAAAAAGTTTTAATATCACGGATAGCGTTTAATATTTGTTAATGCATTATTTATTATGTCATTTAAAATATCCTGAATGACATCTGTCATTTGAATTTGTAAAGAAAATTCAAGAAAATGAATTCGATGTTCAGTTCTTGAATCTTCTGAGGTTTTTATAGAGTCTATTTAATATAAGAGATCGTAAAGATTAAAAAATATAAACAAGTCGTAATCATTAAAAGCAATTGATTTGTTTGAACGTAAAAAACACATTTATAGTGCCTAAATATTATAGTACAGCTTGTATTTCTATTAAACTAAGCAATATTATAGAACAATATCAAAAAACAATTCATTTAAAATATACCTAACAAAAGTAAGAGAATCGCTAATGGTGGTTTGCAAGAGAAATAAATGTAATATAGGTCTTCCTGCAAGTATCATAAATATAATTTTTGTAGTGTGGTCTGGTGCACAGGAAAAGTGTTACTACTTAAATTAAAAATAATGAAGTAAGTTTTGCCTTAATATAAAATACATCTTATCTCTACGTATCATATCATTATAAATACTTGCAATAAATAAGTATATATGAGGTAAAAAGATGTATGTGCCTATGTATGTTAATTTTAAAATCCATAAGAGTATTTTCAAAATACTTACAATCTAAATTATGCTAAAAAATAAATTATTTGATTCATTAAATTTAATATCATTTATTTATTGACAACAAACTGAATTCACGGAATTTCTTCAATGACTTTAAATATTAATTTATTTTTAATAAATAGGTTAATATCTTAAGATTTCTTTTGAATTAAACCTAAGGATAGTGATGAGCATCCAACCGACAAGTCCTGAGATAGATCTTATATTACAACGCATGTTCACGGTCACTAATCTATTGGATTACCTACTTTGTTTACATTTCATTTATATTACAGAACAGTTTATTTTAACAATGACAAATATGTACAATACAACTCTCAGTCACGGTATAGATTGGTTTCATTCTAATAATCACGTTATATTGTGTATTTTAACTTCACACGTCCTTATATATGTACAAGTTTATTCATTTATTCGTTTATTTATTTATTCATTTATTACCTACGTCAGAAATAATGAATTTTTTAGTATGACTTAGTATTTATTATTTATGGTATATCGTCAGTAACAGAAAGTAACATTCAATATTGAAATAAATTAAAAAAGAAATTAAATGTTATTACGTTGTAATGAAAAACTTTTTGTTCATAAGAGTATTTTGATTACCATTTAAATACAATTTATTCCGTATACAATTCCTTAAAATTCTTTTTTTATTTTTATATTCCTTAATTTTCATCATGAATGATTTACAAAAGAAAAAAAAATCGTTATCAAAATATATAGTCTATCAAAAATTTAAATCAAATATCTAATATGAATAACAATTACTTTGGTTGTTTTGGATCTCCATAGAGATTTGTTTGTAAGTACTTATGGATTTATTGTACCAGACGATCAGTTTATTAGTGCTTATGAGTTACAAAACCATAAAACAATAAGAACCCATGTACATCATCAGTTAAAACACATCAACCCAAATATTCCTAGCCGTTAATTCCGTATGACACCAATGTGGAACATAATTTTAGGAATGTACCAACCAGCCTTTAACGAGCTCAACTAGCTGTTGACCGTTGTTGTTTGATATTGTGTTACCCTTTTTAATAATCGGGAATATAATATACACACTCACACATGTGTACATATGTACATACACACGCACACATATGTACATATGTGTATGTATGAACGCAACAACTTTGAACTCCTTGCTATTTGAGATTCGATTATGCTTCATTGATTTGTCAAACCTTGATATCGTAAACATGCTATCTACATGTTCAATAAATTGCAGAATATGCATCACACTCACACATATATGTGTGAATGTGTGTGTATATATGTATATAAATATATATGAATCGAAAAACGACAAACAGGTTGTCAGCTTGTCAGGTTAAAATTGCTTTTTAATAACCATTCATTGTATATGTTGTAAAAACACAACCGACCTTGAATCATCGGATTGTAATCGACGAAACTAGTTATTTATTATTGATTATATTTAATTAGATACTTATAAGATAATCAAACTGAATAGGCTAGGCAAGCTAGGTAGGACCTACGTCATATATAAAAAAAAGGTTACATATATGTCAAATTCAAAAAATAATTAATCTTATTCAATCAATGTTACCATTTTAAATAATAAAACTAGTTCTTAGTGTTACGAAATATAGCGTACAAAATGTAACCTAAATTATATCGTTTAAAAACCATAGTATAAATATATTTAAAGAGTCGAGTTAATATTCACTAGCATTGACAATTGAAAAGAACTGAATTAGTAATTGAACGATTCCGATAGAGATTGATCGATTGTATCACATCCGTAGACAGAGCCGCTATTTATATCATTCAATATTTT